ACAAAACAGTCAGAGTCTTCTACATGCCTTTCACTTATGCCAGCATTTGGCCACTGCTGCTCAAGGCATGCAAAAGATATGCAGAGAAACCAGTGAGAAGGTCTAGTCTAGGCAGGCTACCACAACAGCAGCGATCTGTAAGCCAGCCAGTAGCCCTCTGCTTGACATTCACTCTACCCCGACCCAGCTTGATCTTTGCAGCCTCTTCTCCAGTTCATACTTGGCATCATCTGTCGGAAGCTCATAACGACAAACAGGACAGGAATTCCTTCTCTTCAACCATGAGAAGATGCATCCCTGGTGATAGACATGCCCACATGGCATTTGTCTCCCAGTGGTCCACGCGTCTAGAAGCTCACGACAAATCGAACATTCGACAGGAGAGCAATGTTCCTGACTATTGCTGGAGGACATACAGACCTCTCTTGTACTAGATGGCATCACAGTAACTGCAGGGAGTGATGCAATTGCTGCCCCTGATGCTGGTGGTGGCCCTGGTTCGACTCCTGAAAAGCCTCCACTCCGTCCAATACCGACACCTATCCCAGCACGTGATGAAAGCTCATCTGCAACTTGCTGCAGACGGCCAATTAGATCTACATAGGCACGAACGCGTGCCAGCAGGGATGCATCTTCCTCATTACCAGCACCCTTTTGAATATCAGGACCATTGAGGATCCCAGGAATGTTCAGCCCCAGATGCAGCAAACTGCTGATCAGATTTGCTTGCAGATGCTCCCCAACGAATTCACCTTCCAGACCCTCAGATCGTGGCAAGTGTCCACTGATTCCTTCCCCTCCTCTCCCACTGCCCCCTCGTCCTCGTCCAGGCCTGCCACGCCTTCTTCCCATCCACACCCTGTATCGACCCGCAACCCACTGCCACTCTGCTCTACTTCTCCCTGCATCCCTGTCTGAAACTTCTGTAGATCCCCCTTCTTCATGAGGCGATGTTCCCTCCCCTCGCCTATACTCTCTTGTTAGTACCATGCTATTGTTCTGTCCTGCATGTTCTCCATTCTCATCTCCATCATCCTCGCCATCGTCATCATCAGCAAAGAAGTAGTCTAAGTACTCGTAATCCTCCCAAACCGTTTCTCTGTACTCATTGTCCAAAAGCAAAAGAAGAAGGTATGCAACATCCATGTCATCCCAAGCTCCCTCATCTTCCGCGTGCTCTGCATCCCTGTAGCCATTTCCCCCTGTAACTCCATCCCTCCTATGCACATCAGACTCTGCTCCTGCCACTCTTGTCCTCATGGGCACACCAGCACCCATTGTGCTGACTGTTTCGTGACCCAATCCAGTACTGCGAGACATAAGCTCAGCTGTCTCGTGAGAAGCTGACATCCTCACTGCATTGTTCTCCAGCTGACCGGGAGATTGTATCATCCGTTCTGAACGAGGCTCGCATGAGCAAGTTCCATTCTCAAACACACGCATGGATCCTGCAGAAAGGGAGGATGATGACCTAGCATGATGTTCTTCATCTGCCTCCTCAGGTGAGAGACCCTGTCCTTTGAGGATGCCACTCTCTCTCACATCAGCTGTACTACACCCGTTGTCACCTGCAGATGGCAGCTTCTCGTCTGCACCAGCCCCCAAGAGAGCCATAGAACTAACTGCAGCGGCTCTTCGAGATTGTGCCTGTTCAACTAGATTACTTACAAGAGAAACCTGGCCTAATGTGGCACGACCAACACAGCCCCTGCATTCCTCAATAGGCATCGTTTCCAAGAGTCTATTGAGCATTGCACCGCCACGGGGCGAAACCAATCGCCGCCAAACTGTTCGCAATCTTCCCATTGTATGTGACTCTAGCGTCCCCAAGACTTCACGTAACTCGCTCACTGTGAGATTCTCCAGTGATCTCAAGATCTCTTGAGACAAGCGATCTGCCCCCCGTATTGCCTGCTGCTCTATCCATCGATAATGTGCCTCTATTGCTGCCCCATAATACCGCAGAGGGTCCATTCTTGGGAGGGTGGTCGCAATTGCATCGATCTCTTCCCCACTGACCTCCAGGATATGTCCCCTCCAGACATCTGAGGCCATTCACATTCCTCCAACCCTCTTCCTCCCTATTTGTTTGCTCACATCCAGAATGATCGTCATACAGTGTTGCTGGCAGTCCACCCCTGCTCGGAACAGGTATCAACTGCCTGAGAGCAAACCTGGAGAACATAGGAGAAGTTGCAATCCATTTCACAAATAAGCATGGTGTGTAAATAAATATACAAGGGTAGTGGTCAATGCACCATAAACGTACAATGACAGTGAGATGCAACTGGGATCGCATGGCGAATTTATAATGAAGCCCAGTGCCATTTCGACATCATGAACAAGAGTCCCCAAATGTACCACAAGCAGCATACACAACCCACAATGCAAGATGTGCATTGCAAGGCATAAAACCAGCAATTGATAGGGATGAAATGGGGGTGGCATTGTCGACAGATTTTAGAGGGAAACTCGGGCCAACAACACACCAATCCAAACAACCACCCACACAGTCTGGCATCCAGTGAGGATGGCCTCCGGTGGCCAGATGATGGGCATCAAGAAGATGGGTTGGGATGGGTGGGTTGGGTGGGATGAGATGGGGTGCCGGTGGGAAGCGGTGGTATGGGTGACGGAGGGTCGGGAAGGAGGCTGTTGTGTTGTGTGTTGTGTTGTGTTGTGTTGTGTCGTGTGTTGTGTTGTGCTGTGTTGTGTTGTGTTGTGTGTTCTGTTGTGTGTTGCCTTGTGTTGTGTTGTGTTGTGCGTTGTGTTGTGTTATGTTGCCGCACGGGGCCGCGCGTGGGCTGGGCTGGGCTGAGAGACTCAGCGCTGGAAGGAGCGCTGAGTCTGGCACAACATCCACAGACGAAGGAGAAGAGGAGAGGGGGCCACCATAGCCTGATGAACCCAATCTCCAGTATATCCCCAATGTCGCTGCTCAACAATGTCGAAGTCACAATGTCACTGTAACACGCAAAGCCCAGAAGTCACCATAGCCACAGCGTCACTCTCTCTCTCTCTCTCATATCCCAGTAGAAGAAGAAGAAGGAACAGAGCTCTGGGAGGGGGGAAGGAGGAGCGATGGAGGGCAGGAGGAGAACCAGAAGAGAACGGAGGAGGAATCTCTCTCTCTCTCTCTCTCTCTCTCTCTCTCTCTCTCTGTGATATACCCCGGGTACGAACCTGCAGGAAGATGGCGCCTTGATGCAGGTACGGACGTGCTGAAGACAAAGTTGGATCTATGTCGTCACAGGTAAGTCCTCAGGTGAGTCCCCTGTCCTCTGCCCAACACCGCACTACTCCCTACTCCTGCTGACGCGGAGCTGATGTCGTTAACCTCCAACAGCGCCTCCGCGCTCTCTCAAGTGCTACTGCGCCCCGCACGTCGACTACTGAAGACTACAAGTACTACCTACGGACTCACTGGTCGGCCCGCTATACATAGCGTCGGTCTGAGGTGAGTCCGGCCTCAAAAGTGCTGGCGGCCAAACTCGCGCTCTCCAAAAAATGCCTGGTGCCAAAATGGCGCCACAACCTGGACTGGGCCAGGACCTGAAGGGGGTCCAGCTGCGGACCTGCTGCTGAACTGTCATAGGGAAGCTAACCTCGGCCCCTACTCTGGTACTGATCCTAAACGGGACCGGTAACGGGCCTAATCTGGCCTGCTGACCCTTCGGCCCTACTACGGGCTGAAAAGACGCCTGTCTACAACGGACCCCACCCCTACTAACCCCTAATCCTACCTGTCGGGCCCTGCGGGGCCCGTGTGGGACTGAGTAAGCCCTAGCAAGGGCAAAGCTGTCTGTCGGAGGGAGGGACCGAAGTCCGGGTGGGAGGGGCAGGTTGGGAAGCTTCCTTTCCTAGTCGTTGCTTCTCGTAGGGGGCGTAGATGATCGGTGATGATGCTTGCAATTCTGCTTTTGAGATCCAACGCATGTTGTCGCAGTCACATTGCTTGAACGTGACCTTCTACTGCATTGGTTTGTTACCGTACTTGTGATGCGTGATGACCCAATCAATCTCCTGGTGGCCATCCATCGAGGGAGGGTCCTGTGATCCTCGGCCCGAGAAGTTGTCGCTCTTGGCTAGGATGTAGGTAGCCAGCTTAGAGGCGTGGAAGACCGGATGGACCGGGAGGTGAGGAGGAATGTCGATGATAAATGAGGGGGCACCTGGCTGGTCGCCCGTATCGGACTTGACTGTCCAAGGTCCAAACCACTTTGGGAGGAGTTTGTGTGAGACATCCTGCTCAAGTGCGAACTCGTTGGAGGAGACCCATACCAGGTCGCCTTCGCGGATAAGACATGGTATACAAAGCCGATTTGCTCTTGGCTAGGATGTAGGTAGCCAGCTTAGAGGCGTGGAAGACCGGATGGACCGGGAGGTGAGGAGGAATGTCGATGATAAATGAGGGGGCACCTGGCTGGTCGCCCGTATCGGACTTGACTGTCCAAGGTCCAAACCACTTTGGGAGGAGTTTGTGTGAGACATCCTGCTCAAGTGCGAACTCGTTGGAGGAGACCCATACCAGGTCGCCTTCGCGGATAAGACATGGTATACAAAGCCGATTTGCTTGCTGCTGCAGACTTGTGCCTTGACCATATTAGCGCGGGCTTTGGCCAGCAAGTCCTAAAACTTTCGAACGGAGGCGGGAGAGCAAGGTGCGTCAGCGTCGGCTGCACGAGGGAAGAGGAGGTCGATGAAGAGACGACCCTTCCAACCACTGTGGTGTAATTCGAAGGGGGTCACGCCAATCGTCGGATGCATTGAAGCGTTATAGGCGAATTCGATGTCGGGGATGCCGTCAACCCAACCTTTCTGATCCGGATGGACGAGCATACGAAGCACCATTTCCACTGTTTGATGTGCGCGCTCCGGTTGCCCATCCATTTGTGGGTGTCGAGCCGAACTCGATTCCATCTCGGTGTCGGACTCCGGCATGAGAGAGGTCCAAAATGCCGACATGAATCGAGTGTCGCGGTCGCTCACGATATCCTCCTAGACGTCGTGGCTGCAAATCCAGCTAGTGTGCAAGATTCTTGCGAGCTCGGGAGCCATCGCGTAATACTTGCAAGGAAGAAACCGCGCGTACTTACTTAGACGATCTACAATTGTGAGAATACGATCGTGGCCGACTCGATCACGAGGAGAAGGGTCGGTAACGTCCACGACAATTGACGTTCTGAGTTCTCGTAGGATCTGTAAGGGTCATAGCTCGCCCTACGGGTTGCTATTGCGGGGCTTGTTCCGGCGGCAAACCTCGCAAGACTCGCGATACCGTGTGACATCGCGAACGACGTCGGGCCATCGAAACTGCTCACGTAGTCGTGCAATTGTACGGTTGACTCCAAAGTGGCCAGCGAGTCGCGCGTCATGAAACTCACCGAAGAGGCGAGTCCGTAACCGACAATCATTCGGAACGCATTACAAGTCTTTGACGCGTGAGTGGAGCAGCAAGGGTAGTGGCTCGCTGGCGGGTGATCCCAAGAAAGGTTGTCGTAGAGGGTCGCATATTCGGGATCCGACTTGTAGTCGCGTACGAAGTGGGGATGTAACTCTGTATCAAAAGCAAAGGCGTGGTGAGTCAATGCCCAGGGATCGGGTCTTTGTGAAAGACATCCGCCGCGCGATTGGAGAGGCCAGAGATATGCTTGGATGTGAATTCGAATTGGTCGATGAACTACATCCATCGGTCGATCATGCTGCTCACCGTGTCTTGCGTCTTGTAGTTGTCAATGGATTGTTGTCGGTGACCCAAGTGAACGTACCACACTTGAGGAGGAAATGCCGCAAGTGTATCGTGACGAAATCCAGCAGCTCCTTCCTCAAGTCATCAAATGAGTTCCTTGGTGGCACCTTTTGGCTAAAGAACTCAACTGCGTGCCAATCAGTATCTTCATGCTGCTCCAAAACTGCCCCAATGTCGTAGCCACTCGCATCCGTAGTCACTCGCGTAGGCAAAGTGGGATCGTAGATCCTCAAAACGGGAGCCATGAGCATTGTCATCTTAAGCGTATGGAAGGCAGCGCGCACCTCATCGGTGAACTCGAAGGGCAACTTTGGGGATTGAAGTCGTGTCAAAGGTGCGGCGACTCGTGCGTAGCCCTTGATGAAGCGCTGATAGTAGTCTGCCAATCCCAGGAAAGAACGAACGTCCGTGGTGTTGGTCGGCTCCGACCAATCTTGGATGGCCTGGATCTTATCCCCAAGCGGATGAATCCCTTGCAGCGCTACAAATTGGCCCAAGTACTCGAGCTCTTGCTGGGCAAATTCGCATTTGTCGCAGTTGGCCTTGTACTTGGTCATACGAAGCCTCTCCAACACAGTGCGTAGGTGATTGAGGTGCTTGTCCAATGTCCGGCTAGACACCAAGATGTCGCTGAGGTAGATGAGCACGAACAGGTCCAACATGTCTCGAAACTCCATCATCATTGCCGCTTGGAAGGTGGTCGGGGCTTTCGTAAGGCCGAATGGCATGCCGGCCCACTCGAAGTGCCCAGATCGCGTTTTAAACGCGGTCTTGTATTGGTCTCGCGGGAGGATCTCCATTTGGTGGTACCCGGACTTGAGGTCCAACTTCGAGAAATATGTGGATACACCCAAGCGTTCGAGCAGATCGTCGATTCGCGGGAGAGGGCCGACATTCTTTAACGGTTTGTGCATTAAGTTCGCGATAGTCTATACATAGAGGAAGGTACTTGTTCTTTCTCCGGACGAAAAGAACCGGGGAACCGTAGGGCGAGCAGCTAAGGCGAATCCATCCTTTGTCAAGAAGGTCATCGAGTTGTGTGCAAAGCACTTCAACCTCCTCCTCGGTCATGCGGTAAATACAATCGCGCGGAGGTACGACACCATCCTCGAGAATGCTCTCATGGTGAATGGGCCGATCCGGTATGACTCCGGCGGGGGCCTCGAAGACGTCACTATACGAGTCAACAAGTTGTACGATGCGTGAATCCAGTGGCACTTTCGAGACTAGTGAATCTATTGTCGAGACTAGTGAATCTATTGGAGTTAAGGCATGCAAGAAACAAATTCTCATGCGATGGAGTTGTGAATGCTTGCTGCTGAAACCACATGAAAACCAATCGAACTGTGAGTTGTAGGAACTGTGCTATGGGACTAATGTGTCGTTCCAATCACGTACGTGAACGATGCGACGATAAAAGTTCACCGGATGGTCCTCGTTGCGCAGCCATGACATGTCGAAGATCATATCGAACTTAGTGTCCACAATGTTAAAGGGCACGGCCTCACATGCTTGCAAGGCAAAGTACACGAGGACAGAGTCAATGCACCGGTCTATTGACTTGTGCGTGAGACCATATGCCAATGTGACTTGCGTAGGTTGTCTTCCTTCAAACGCGCGGTCCAAAGCCGATGCGCGTCATGAAGTCTTGGTTGATGTAGTTGCGAGTACCTCCACAATCAATCAAGGCGTTGCAGGTCGCCTTTCCGATCTGAATGCGGATGTAAAGTAACGATGCGTTAGTGTCGTCGTACCGTTGCGTTGCGTACTCGTGGTCGATCTTCGCAAGGTAGTCGCGAAGGTGAACAACCGCTACCTCGTCTTCCGTCAATGGAGCTGGTACTGCAGAGTGCAAATACTGGCGTAAGTGAGCCATGTGGGCATTGCAATGCAGTTTCGGCAAGGAACTTGATGGGGGAAGCGGCATCCAGTGGAAGTCTTCCTTCGTCAACGGGTCGAGGTCCTTGAGTCTTGACCACACCGACGAGTCCCCGACTGATGAGGTCGGCGATTATACCGAAACACTTGCCGACAGTGAAGAAACCTCACATACGCTTCACTGTTGCACGTGGAGTGGGAGGTCCAACGGAGGGGCCATCTAAACAGCAAAGTCCTCATAAGTATAGCGAGAACTTTGACTTCACTTCCCGCGAAGCTCAGTATCTCGAACTTGCCTCGGGTCAAACGTCCTCTTTGCCCTTGTCGGGGCATTGACAGGGTATGTGTTTGGTGTTGTTGCACCAAAAGCAGCATCCCCACTTTTGACGGAGCTTGTATTTCTCTTCCATAAGCTTGAAATTTTCCCAAGCACGGTTCGGCCGTCCGACTCCCAATGTCGACGTGAAGTTCGCCTTTGTCTTCTTCTTGGAAGTAGTGCGTCACGGCGCGAGGGCATTCACTTGGTCTCCATCACTTGACTCAAGCTTGCACGCCGCGTCCTCGGTAGGTCCATTGCTTCGGACTGCGGCCACTAGTTGCGTCCGTGGGGCCTTTCCTTTCTCCACAAAGGTCGGTTGGCGTTGCTTTCGATTGCAGTATCCTGATTGGTGTGGATGATGGAACGAGCGCGTTCAATAATGGAATCGAAGCCAGTGTAGTTCTCCATCTCTCCAAGGGCCGATGTCAAGGAGTCGAGTGAGCATTGAAAGAACTCACGCCGTAAGTGTTCGAATGGTATGTTGCGGTTGGGTATGGCAACAATCTTCCGCCACTCCGTCAACCACTCGCACGTCGGCTGACTGCCTTGAAACATCTTGAGGATCTGGTTCACACCTCGTGCCTGGGCACATTGGTGACGATGAATCTGTTCTTCCACTTGGCTGTGATCGTGTCCCAAGCGAGCTTGGTGTGCAGGTCTTGGATGTTTACTCCCTCGTGCGTGGCCGGATGGTTGAGCCAGATTTGGCACGTGCCGGTGGTGTTGAGGTAAAGCACCGCAATCTTGAGGTGCTCCGAGATGTCGTGAAGTCCCAACTTCGTTGTGAAGCTCTGCCACCAAGCAAGTGGATCGACCTTATGGTAGTCGTCGGACTCGTCAATTGCGCTTCGCCTGAACATTCAGGAGTGCCGCGCTTGCTGACGTGGCGATGTGGCTGCTGACCTGATCCCGCTGACCTGGCACCAAGCCCAGAAGAATACGAAAGGGGAGGGAGGGAGGGGGACAGGCAGGCAGGCAATCCAGACTGCGAAGTACCCTTCCCTTAGCTGTAGATTGGACCCCTAATCAGGAAAAATTTCCCCCCTCTGATTGGAAGTATAAAAGGGTGAAAATTTATGAAATTAAAAAAAAAACAACGAGTGTTCTTATGACAAAATGTGGGGTTTGATTGGTGGCCGACCTGGTTGAGTCAGTCTGTGTGTAAGAACCGACTGACTTGCAGATAGTATGACCGAGAAAGAAATCTGAATTTTCGCAAAAATTCGAAGTCAAAAATAAAAATTTAAATTGACAGCGGGGCTCTGCAAAAACGAATAGAGATTGCCACTACTACTTTGAAGATCGTGTTTTAAGTCTAATCAATGGATTAGTAATGTGCAAAAATAAGAAAAATCATAATTTGCAAGGGAAAATCGCAAAAAAACGAGTTGACTGAAGTCTCACCTTTAGAACTTCCGACGATACGTCTGCTGTAACACGTGTGCCAAATGGAGCCACTGGGTCCTCGCCGCACCCGCAGACAAGCACAAATGGGCAGGCTTGAAAATAGAGGGGTCAAACAGGCCTCAGAAAAGGCCCAGGTCAACAGTTGACTGAAAGATTCAGCTCGTGGACCCAGCCCAGATCCGAGAAGTCAAAGTCAGCGCAGAATATGTTCCTGGCCGTCGATCAGGAATGATCTAACAGTGGTCTGCAGGTTCCGGAAGATACAGGCCTCAAGGAGTCCAAACCGAAACTGGGACACATTGGAAGATTCGTCCCTCACATGGACTGACGCTGACCGTGGACAAGAGATTCAACACTACATTAAGTTGACCTCGCCACGGCTTGGACATTCGGTCTTGCGAGTTGCTTGCGGCTACAACGCTGCACGTGAGACTTGAGGAGGTGCTGCTGCTAGGCTGCTTGATGGGCGCCAGCCAGATATCGTGGTGTAGAGAGAGCGAGAGGGCGGCCACGGCTGCGACCATAGACTACGGCGAGGGAATGAGGAGAGGGAGAGAGAGAGAGTGTCGGTGATGTGAGTCGTCGTGCGTACGTACCTGGTCTCTTTAGATGTGAAGCGGCTGCCAATTCTGCTCGCTGCTGGACGATTGTTTATCTGCGAGGGGCTGCTTCCACATCATCCACGAGTTACACGGAGTGCTAACATGGCACATTGTGTGCATACCGCTGACGTGGCATATTGAGAACGGAGTGCTGACATGGCACATTGAGTGCATATTGCTGACGTGGCGCATTGAGACTTTACATGCGGTCATGAGGAAACACGTACTTCAATGACTTCAAACTGATGGACTTATTGGACTGATTATTTCATGACACAGCACGACATTGTTATCTGCGACATGATTGGATGACGAGACTGGGTTCATTACAATTTGGTATCGGAGCCAGTTTGATCTGCGAAGTTTCAAGGAACAGTTGGACCAGGCTGCGATGGGAGTTGATCGCCTCCGTTTGGCAAGAGAAATGAACCTGGTTCTAGACAGGGGGTCAGAAATGTTCAGCACATTGCAGAAGAGGAAAAAAGGAAACAGGAACGAAATGAAGATGTCATTGATCAGAACATCAGGCAGCTGGAAAAAGCATTGCAAGCAGAGAAGAAGAAGAAGGAACCCATACAACAGCAAAGAAAGAAGAAAGAAGAAGAAGAAAGGAAAATCAATGAAATTCGAAGCGAAGTAAAAGTAGGGGAAGGAAGTGATATTGCAAGTCTCATGCAAAATATGCAGTCTTATCTGGTTCACTTAGAGGTAAAGCTAGATCGGGTCATCTCCGATAAGAATCTGCCCAGTTGGCGACGCTGACCAACGCGGTCAAGCAAAAGCAGTCGATGACTAAAGAAGAACAAGAGCAGATCGGGGAAGAACCAGAACCTGAACCAGGGAAGAAACTGATGGGAGATGCAATGAAGACCCCCCCCAAAGAATAAACCCGAATAAAGAGGCACGGAGGGAGAAAGTGAAAATGAAGCTTCCCTTCACATACAACGGTAAGAAAGGAGAACACTTGCTGTTGTGGATCGCTGAAGTACAAACATATTGCTCGACGGCCCCAATAGATCAAGATAGCCAGGTGGCGTTCACCACCTCATGTCTTTGCGAAGACACCAAGGCATGGGTATTGTCCGAAGCGAATGCCGCCGGATTTGAGGTTATTGGGGATTGGGCAAAGACACTAACATTGAGGGAATTCATGAAGAAAACTAAAGAACGATTCCTAAACAATACCACAACAGACAAGGCATTTGACCAACTTACCTCAATCAACCAGCAACACTGGACGTCTGTGGATGCTCTCTCTCGTGAAGTGGATTGGTTGTCGCAGATACCAGGACTGAACATCCATGATGATCAGGTCCATCTGCTCACGAGCGCTACCTGAACCTGTCTGTGGACAGCTGGTTGCCGAGTCAAAGTACGGTAAGTACACGTATGGGTAGTTCCGGGATCCCGCTCTGCAGCGAGAACAGACGACGTCGCAGGTGAAGAACACCTACACAGGGGTTACTAGGCTAGGGCATGGGGGTGGATCAAGGAAAAGAGTTTTGTGGAGGCAGAAAAGACAAGACCACACACTCGTTGTGTTCGACGACGACACAATGGAGAAGTGGCCCCTCAAAGGAAGCGAGGGACAAGTAAGTGCGGGCGGCGAATGTATGTGCGACCGAATCAAATTGCCCGGGATGAGAACCTCCCCAAGATTGCAAGTGCATACAATAATAGTGTACACACTTCTACAGGACGCACACCGAATGCACTGCACAAAGGTTGGCAACCTCTGAGACCGATTGACTCCCTAACAAGAGATCAAATCCAGAAGCTGGCCCCAGGAACCCGCGAGTTTGCAGTTCTCTATGAGCAAGACATTCAGAAAGCAAAAAAAAAAATAAAGAAATCACAACAGAAAATGATAGAACAGGCAAACAAACATAGAAGGCCTGCACAATGCCAAGAAGGAGATGGTTTGGGTAAAATATATCTCACTTGATGAAAATGTCTCGCAGAAACTGTTACCCATCTACTATGGACCCTTGGAAAAAATA